TTAAATAAACACAATTAAATGTGATATCTTGGTCGTGATAGCAGGTTTTTAGATATTTCTGTAAATTGAAGTGATTGCGAGAGTTTGTATGTTATACTGCAGCTGATTCATTTCATACAGCTGGAAATACTGCCCTCCAGTAATAAAAACTAAGTATTTCTTCAGCCCATGGAGTATAGTGGGCTTGCATAAATATGTATTTGACTCAGATCGGGTTAAGTTTTAGAGATTATCTAAAACACAGACCTCTGTTTATTTGAATAGTGTCCACACTGGAAAACACTCAGGTAGTGCACACATCTGACACAAAAGTCCTGTAATTTTGTTTTCTAACAATCAAAAAATATTGTTTTATTCTACGTGTGGACCTACATTAAAATACACATAGCTATACACAATTATGGTTGCATCATGGTGGCTATGGCTTGAACAATACCTAAATCCTGGACAACTGGGGCTTTGTACAATCAGACTGGGCTGAGTTATGGTCATTTAAACTCATCCTTAAAATAATAATTAATTACAAATGAAAACAGACTGAAACTGTGAAAGTTGTAGACGATAGTTCAGCTTCAGGACTCATTACACTTTATTTTAAATGCCAGCAATTAACTCTATTTGTTATTTACTTCTTGGAGTATTACACATTTTATTAAAAGAAGAACACAAACAGTAGCTAATATGGCTTACTTTATATCTCTGCGACAGATCCAGGACCAGTATGGCATTGTGTTTTGCAGTTCAGCATGTCGTGAGAGTGATGTTGATGGTTTAAGTATCTGGATATCTGAGGTGGAAAACAGGGTCAGACTTATTATTACAAATACACACTCCCTTTGGATGCACTCATGTAAACTGCAAAGTGTGTGTGAGTTCAGAATATATCCCATTAAAATAAGAGCATTGATGTGTTCAAGTTTTTTTGCATCTGTATAGAGAAATTATAATATTCTATATTATGATGTTAAAAAAAGACCTATAGTGATTATATTATATAAGACATCTTGGGCGATATTAGTGGAACCTGCACTTGTGCTTTTTGTACTTTTAATTTTTCAAGTAGAAAGCGTATAGTTTATCGTACAAGGTGAAAAGGTCTGGCCTGCCTTGTGACAAGGAGAACACTGAATTCATGTGATGTCATCTCATTCTGAAACCTTTGATGACCGTCGTCCCATTCTGAAACCTTTGATGACACATATGGAGCCCGTTATGACATCATGCAGAATGTCCAACAGAATGTTCTGTTGGATTAAAGCCTCCTGACAAACTCCAGTTAGATGCAACCTGACCTCCAACAGAGAAACATCTCCCAGTGTCAACAGACCAAAACTACAGAAATTAGATCTCGACTAGAACCAAAGACGTCAAAACCTGCGGTACACAACCACCCAAGGTACACTACAACCACAAGCAACACTACAGTAGTATCCAACACCGATCCCTGTGTTCAGCCAACATGGAGACAAACTCAAGAGACGAGGTAAGATTTTCTGAACCAGGAGACACTACATCTTTTGTCCAAAGCTTCAAAAATTAGTATTTATAAATATTTTTGAAGAGAGGGCAGCGATTCAGAGGTCTGGCCAGTGAGCTGACTGAGTTTCTTTATATTTAGTTTCTAATTTACATGAATGTGTTGTATTGAGACATGTGAACTGTACAATGTCATAATGTTTTCAGTGTTTAGAGTTTTACAACATCATTGCTGTAATGTGTTTACTGTGAGTCGGGGACACAAGGTGACAGACTTTGTGTCGCTGTAGTTTACAAGACATTTCTGGATATTGTGCAGTTGGCTTGAGGATATTTCTATTTTGACTATATTTAAGTGAAACACAAAACAACATTTTACTGAAATACTATTACTCAATAGTAAATTGAGAATTTGACTGTTTTTGCTGAAGCTGTGAATGAGGGACATTTCATTTTGCTGCCAGTGATGTAGGGCTCTTTTACTACAGATAGCTTCAGATGTGTGAAAGATCCCCTCTTTTTCTGTGTATTCAAAGTTAACACGGGACAATATTTTTACGTATTGCATGTATATTTGTGTCTTTCAGCTCACAGCATTCTCCAGGCAGAGCCCTGCACGCTCTGCGACGAGCCCTTAAAGACTCAAAATCAGTACACAGGCAGCTGGCCTCAGAAAATGCTGCTCTGAAGGAGCAAATGGCCAACAAAGAGATCAGCTGGGAAAAGGAAAGGCAGAAGCTTCTGGATAAAACAGGCCGGTATAGTCTCAACTCTATATACAATCAGAAATGAAAGAGATTTCCTAGATGGGGCTTTACAGTCCACAACAGCCATTCTTAAACAAAGTGACATTCAAAGAAAGGAGACGGAGAGAAAAAATGAAATATTAGAAGAAGAGGTCTGCTCTCTTAAGAAACACCTGAGCTGTCAACAGATGGAGACAGAGAAAATAAAAACATTGTGGAAAGAAGAGCGGGACCAGGTCATGAAAATGAAGCTTTGCGTGGAGAAATCTCTAAATCAGTTTACTGCAGGGTGGGAAAGCCAGTGGCTTGTGAATGAGGAGGAGGGAGATGCCGAGCTGACCACTCTGCAGGAGCACTGTGAGGAGAAGGAGATGAAGGTAAAGGAAGATGAGATCATTTCCATGGTAACAAGGGAAATTATGGCAATGGTGGAGGGAAATATGGTGACATTAAAATCCATAAACACAGAGCTCCACCAGAGCCAGGCAGAGTTGAAGAGTAAAAACAAAGTTCTGCAGGATCTTCTCAGTGGAGAGCAGAAAACAATAGAGAGCTGGAGGAGAAGTGGCTCCAAAAAGAGCACACGATGGAGGAGGACATTAAGCTCCTGAGCGAGCTAAACACTGAGCTCCAGGTACGGCACATCAGCTGATCACTTTAATTGAAATAATAACTTGTTGGATTCTAACACTTTGTTTCATATTTAGTCTTTGAAAGAGAAAACACTGAATGACTTTCTACTTTTGTCTTTTCAGGAGCTCGCCGACAAAACTGACGATGAGAAGGCCAAGATGAGAAAGAACGAAAGAGGGCAAGGAAGGAGACAGAAAAGAGGCTGAAGAAGGAGAGAAAAGAGGAGGAAAAGAGAGAGAAGAAAGAGAAAAAGAAAATGAGAAGAAGGAAAAGGAGAGATTGAAGAGAGAAAAGAAAGAAAATCAGGAAAGGGAGAAAAAAGAAAAGAGGAGATAAAAGAGGAGGAGAAGAAAGAGAAGGAAGAAAATGAGAAAAAGGAAAAGGAGAGATTGAAGAGAGAAAAGAAAGAAAATCAGGAAAGGGAGAAGAAAGAAAAGAAGGAGAGAAAAGAGGAGGAGAAGAAAGAGAAGGAAGAAAATGAGAAAAAGGAAAAGGAGAGATTAAAGAGAGAAAAGAAATAAAATGAGGAAAGAGAGAAGAAAGAAAGAGAGAGGAGTAATATCATTTTACCCCCCATCTCCCCTTCCAGTTTTCCTCCCCTCCTTTCCTAACCCTCTCACCCCTACTCCCCAACAACCCTACCTCCTACTCTTCTCCCTTCTTTCCCCCCCTACCCCTTTCCGTTTAACCCCTACTACCCAACAACCCTACCTTTCCTACCCCCTCCCCCCATCTGCCCATCAGGTTTCCTCCCTCCTTTCCTAACCCCCTCACCCCTTTCTCCCTTTCACCCCTACTCCCCAACAACCCTACCTCTCCTACCCTCTTACCTCCCATTCTTTCTCCCTTCCTAATCCCCCCTACCCCTTTCTCCATTTAACCCCTACTCCCCAACAACCCTACCTTTCCTACCCTCTTACCCCCCCCCCCCCATCAGGTTTCCTCCCTCCTTTCCTAACCCTCTCACCCGTTTCTCCCTATTACCCATACCCCATGTCATGTCACCTGATAAATTAAATAAACACAATTAAATGTGATATCTTGGTCGTGATAGCAGGTTTTAGATATTTCTGTAAATTGAAGTGATTGCAGAGTTTGTATGTTATACTGCAGCTGATTCATTTCATACAGCTGGAAATACTGCCCTCCAGTAATAAAAACTAAGTATTTCTTCAGCCCATGGAGTATAGTGGGCTTGCATAAATATGTATTTGACTCAGATCTCGGGTTAAGTTTTAGAGATTTATCTAAACACAGACCTCTGTTTATTTGAATAGTGTCCACACTGGAAAACACTCAGGTAGTGCACACATCTGACACAAAAGTCCTGTAATTTTGTTTTTCTAACAATCAAAAAATATTGTTTTTATTCTACGTGTGGACCTACATTAAAATACACATAGCTATACACAATTATGGTTGCATCATGGTGGCTATGGCTTGAACAATACCTAAATCCTGGACAACTGGGGCTTTGTACAATCAGACTGGGCTGAGTTATGGTCATTTAAACTCATCCTTAAAATAATAATTAATTACAAATGAAAACAGACTGAAACTGTGTTGAAAGTTGTAGACGATAGTTCAGCTTCAGGACTCATTACACTTTATTTTAAATGCCAGCAATTAACTCTATTTGTTATTTACTTCTTGGAGTATTACACATTTTATTAAAAGAAGAACACAAACAGTAGCTAATATGGCTTACTTTATATCTCTGCGACAGATCCAGGACCAGTATGGCATTGTGTTTTGCAGTTCAGCATGTCGTGAGAGTGATGTTGATGGTTTAAGTATCTGGATATCTGAGGTGGAAAACAGGGTCAGACTTATTATTACAAATACACACTCCCTTTGGATGCACTCATGTAAACTGCAAAGTGTGTGTGAGTTCAGAATATATCCCATTAAAATAAGAGCATTGATGTGTTCAAGTTTTTTTGCATCTGTATAGAGAAATTATAATATTCTATATTATGATGTTAAAAAAAGACCTATAGTGATTATATTATATAAGACATCTTGGGCGATATTAGTGGAACCTGCACTTGTGCTTTTTGTACTTTTAATTTTTCAAGTAGAAAGCGTATAGTTTATCGTACAAGGTGAAAAGGTCTGGCCTGCCTTGTGACAAGGAGAACACTGAATTCATGTGATGTCATCTCATTCTGAAACCTTTGATGACCGTCGTCCCACTCTGAAACCTTTGATGACACAATATGGAGCCCGTTATGACATCATGCAGAATGTCCAACAGAATGTTCTGTTGGATTAAAGCCTCCTGACAAACTCCAGTTAGATGCAACCTGACCTCCAACAGAGAAACATCTCCCAGTGTCAACAGACCAAAACTACAGAAATTAGATCTCGACTAGAACCAAAGACGTCAAAACCTGCGGTACACAACCACCCAAGGTACACTACAACCACAAGCAACACTACAGTAGTATATCTCCAACACCGATCCCTGTGTTCAGCCAACATGGAGACAAACTCAAGAGACGAGGTAAGATTTTCTGAACCAGGAGACACTACATCTTTTGTCCAAAGCTTCAACAAATATAGTATTTATAAATATTTTTGAAGAGAGGGCAGCGATTCAGAGGTCTGGCCAGTGAGCTGACTGAGTTTCTTTATATTTAGTTTCTAATTTACATGAATGTGTTGTATTGAGACATGTGAACTGTACAATGTCATAATGTTTTCAGTGTTTAGAGTTTTACAACATCATTGCTGTAATGTGTTTACTGTGAGTCGGGGACACAAGGTGACAGACTTTGTGTCGCTGTAGTTTACAAGACATTTCTGGATATTGTGCAGTTGGCTTGAGGATATTTCTATTTTGACTATATTTAAGTGAAACACAAAACAACATTTTACTGAAATACTATTACTCAATAGTAAATTGAGAATTTGACTGTTTTTGCTGAAGCTGTGAATGAGGGACATTTCATTTTGCTGCCAGTGATGTAGGGCTCTTTTACTACAGATAGCTTCAGATGTGTGAAAGATCCCCTCTTTTTCTGTGTATTCAAAGTTAACACGGGACAATATTTTTACGTATTGCATGTATATTTGTGTCTTTCAGTGCTCACAGCATTCTCCAGGCAGAGCCCTGCACGCTCTGCGACGAGCCCTTAAAGACTCAAAATCAGTACACAGGCAGCTGGCCTCAGAAAATGCTGCTCTGAAGGAGCAAATGGCCAACAAAGAGATCAGCTGGGAAAAGGAAAGGCAGAAGCTTCTGGATAAAACAGGCGTATAGTCTCAACTCTATATACAATCAGAAATGAAAGAGATTTCCTAGATGGGGCTTTACAGTCCACAACAGCCATTCTTAAACAAAGTGACATTCAAAGAAAGGAGACGGAGAGAAAAAATGAAATATTAGAAGAAGAGGTCTGCTCTCTTAAGAAACACCTGAGCTGTCAACAGATGGAGACAGAGAAAATAAAAACATTGTGGAAAGAAGAGCGGGACCAGGTCATGAAAATGAAGCTTTGCGTGGAGAAATCTCTAAATCAGTTTACTGCAGGGTGGGAAAGCCAGTGGCTTGTGAATGAGGAGGAGGGAGATGCCGAGCTGACCACTCTGCAGGAGCACTGTGAGGAGAAGGAGATGAAGGTAAAGGAAGATGAGATCATTTCCATGGTAACAAGGGAAATTATGGCAATGGTGGAGGGAAATATGGTGACATTAAAATCCATAAACACAGAGCTCCACCAGAGCCAGGCAGAGTTGAAGAGTAAAAACAAAGCTCTGCAGGATCTTCTCAGTGGAGAGCAGAAAAACAATAGAGAGCTGGAGGAGAAGTGGCTCCAAAAAGAGCACACGATGGAGGAGGACATTAAGCTCCTGAGCGAGCTAAACACTGAGCTCCAGGTACGGCACATCAGCTGATCACTTTAATTGAAATAATAACTTGTTGGATTCTAACACTTTGTTTCATATTTAGTCTTTGAAAGAGAAAACACTGAATGACTTTCTACTTTTGTCTTTTCAGGAGCTCGCCGACAAAACTGACGATGAGAAGGCCAAGATGAGAAAGAACGAAAAGAGGGCAAGGAAGGAGACAGAAAAGAGGCTGAAGAAGGAGAGAAAAGAGGAGGAAAAGAGAGAGAAGAAAGAGAAAAAAGAAAATGAGAAGAAGGAAAAGGAGAGATTGAAGAGAGAAAAGAAAGAAAATCAGGAAAGGGAGAAAAAAGAAAAGAGGAGATAAAAGAGGAGGAGAAGAAAGAGAAGGAAGAAAATGAGAAAAAGGAAAAGGAGAGATTGAAGAGAGAAAAGAAAGAAAATCAGGAAAGGGAGAAGAAAGAAAAGAAGGAGAGAAAAGAGGAGAGAGAGAGAAGAAAGAGAAGGAAGAAAATGAGAAAAAGGAAAAGGAGAGATTAAAGAGAGAAAAGAAATAAAATGAGGAAAGAGAGAAGAAAAAAGAAAGAGGAGAGGATGATGGAGAAGAAAGAGGAGTAATATCATTTTACCCCCCATCTCCCCTTCCAGTTTTCCTCCCCTCCTTTCCTAACCCTCTCACCCCTACTCCCCAACAACCCTACCTCTCATTCTTTCTCCCTTCCTAACCCCCCTACCCCTTTCTCCGTTTAACCCCTACTACCCAACAACCCTACCTTTCCTACCCCCCTCCGACCCCATCTGCCCATCAGGTTTCCTCCCTCCTTTCCTAACCCCCTCACCCCTTTCTCCCTTTCACCCCTACTCCCCAACAACCCTACCTCTCCTACCCTCTTACCTCCCATTCTTTCTCCCTTCCTAATCCCCCCTACCCCTTTCTCCATTTAACCCCTACTACCCAACAACCCTACCTTTCCTACCCTCTTACCCCCCCCATCAGGTTTCCTCCCTCCTTTCCTAACCCTCTCACCCGTTTCTCCCTATTACCCATACCCCATGTCATGTCACCTGATCTTTTAAATAAACACAATTAAATGTGATATCTTGGTCGTGATAGCAGGTTTTAGATATTTCTGTAAATTGAAGTGATTGCAGAGTTTGTATGTTATACTGCAGCTGATTCATTTCATACAGCTGGAAATACTGCCCTCCAGTAATAAAAACTAAGTATTTCTTCAGCCCATGGAGTATAGTGGGCTTGCATAAATATGTATTTGACTCAGATCTCGGGTTAAGTTTTAGAGATTTATCTAAACACAGACCTCTGTTTATTTGAATAGTGTCCACACTGGAAAACACTCAGGTAGTGCACACATCTGACACAAAAGTCCTGTAATTTTGTTTTTCTAACAATCAAAAAATATTGTTTTTATTCTACGTGTGGACCTACATTAAAATACACATAGCTATACACAATTATGGTTGCATCATGGTGGCTATGGCTTGAACAATACCTAAATCCTGGACAACTGGGGCTTTGTACAATCAGACTGGGCTGAGTTATGGTCATTTAAACTCATCCTTAAAATAATAATTAATTACAAATGAAAACAGACTGAAACTGTGTTGAAAGTTGTAGACGATAGTTCAGCTTCAGGACTCATTACACTTTATTTTAAATGCCAGCAATTAACTCTATTTGTTATTTACTTCTTGGAGTATTACACATTTTATTAAAAGAAGAACACAAACAGTAGCTAATATGGCTTACTTTATATCTCTGCGACAGATCCAGGACCAGTATGGCATTGTGTTTTGCAGTTCAGCATGTCGTGAGAGTGATGTTGATGGTTTAAGTATCTGGATATCTGAGGTGGAAAACAGGGTCAGACTTATTATTACAAATACACACTCCCTTTGGATGCACTCATGTAAACTGCAAAGTGTGTGTGAGTTCAGAATATATCCCATTAAAATAAGAGCATTGATGTGTTCAAGTTTTTTTGCATCTGTATAGAGAAATTATAATATTCTATATTATGATGTTAAAAAAAGACCTATAGTGATTATATTATATAAGACATCTTGGGCGATATTAGTGGAACCTGCACTTGTGCTTTTTGTACTTTTAATTTTTCAAGTAGAAAGCGTATAGTTTATCGTACAAGGTGAAAAGGTCTGGCCTGCCTTGTGACAAGGAGAACACTGAATTCATGTGATGTCATCTCATTCTGAAACCTTTGATGACCGTCGTCCCACTCTGAAACCTTTGATGACCGTCGTCCCATTCTGAAACCTTTGATGACACAATATGGAGCCCGTTATGACATCATGCAGAATGTCCAACAGAATGTTCTGTTGGATTAAAGCCTCCTGACAAACTCCAGTTAGATGCAACCTGACCTCCAACAGAGAAACATCTCCCAGTGTCAACAGACCAAAACTACAGAAATTAGATCTCGACTAGAACCAAAGACGTCAAAACCTGCGGTACACAACCACCCAAGGTACACTACAACCACAAGCAACACTACAGTAGTATATCTCCAACACCGATCCCTGTGTTCAGCCAACATGGAGACAAACTCAAGAGACGAGGTAAGATTTTCTGAACCAGGAGACACTACATCTTTTGTCCAAAGCTTCAACAAATATAGTATTTATAAATATTTTTGAAGAGAGGGCAGCGATTCAGAGGTCTGGCCAGTGAGCTGACTGAGTTTCTTTATATTTAGTTTCTAATTTACATGAATGTGTTGTATTGAGACATGTGAACTGTACAATGTCATAATGTTTTCAGTGTTTAGAGTTTTACAACATCATTGCTGTAATGTGTTTACTGTGAGTCGGGGACACAAGGTGACAGACTTTGTGTCGCTGTAGTTTACAAGACATTTCTGGATATTGTGCAGTTGGCTTGAGGATATTTCTATTTTGACTATATTTAAGTGAAACACAAAACAACATTTTACTGAAATACTATTACTCAATAGTAAATTGAGAATTTGACTGTTTTTGCTGAAGCTGTGAATGAGGGACATTTCATTTTGCTGCCAGTGATGTAGGGCTCTTTTACTACAGATAGCTTCAGATGTGTGAAAGATCCCCTCTTTTTCTGTGTATTCAAAGTTAACACGGGACAATATTTTTACGTATTGCATGTATATTTGTGTCTTTCAGTGCTCACAGCATTCTCCAGGCAGAGCCCTGCACGCTCTGCGACGAGCCCTTAAAGACTCAAAATCAGTACACAGGCAGCTGGCCTCAGAAAATGCTGCTCTGAAGGAGCAAATGGCCAACAAAGAGATCAGCTGGGAAAAGGAAAGGCAGAAGCTTCTGGATAAAACAGGCGTATAGTCTCAACTCTATATACAACCAGAAATGAAAGAGATTTCCTAGATGGGGCTTTACAGTCCACAACAGCCATTCTTAAACAAAGTGACATTCAAAGAAAGGAGACGGAGAGAAAAAATGAAATATTAGAAGAAGAGGTCTGCTCTCTTAAGAAACACCTGAGCTGTCAACAGATGGAGACAGAGAAAATAAAAACATTGTGGAAAGAAGAGCGGGACCAGGTCATGAAAATGAAGCTTTGCGTGGAGAAATCTCTAAATCAGTTTACTGCAGGGTGGGAAAGCCAGTGGCTTGTGAATGAGGAGGAGGGAGATGCCGAGCTGACCACTCTGCAGGAGCACTGTGAGGAGAAGGAGATGAAGGTAAAGGAAGATGAGATCATTTCCACGGTAACAAGGGAAATTATGGCAATGGTGGAGGGAAATATGGTGACATTAAAATCCATAAACACAGAGCTCCACCAGAGCCAGGCAGAGTTGAAGAGTAAAAACAAAGCTCTGCAGGATCTTCTCAGTGGAGAGCAGAAAAACAATAGAGAGCTGGAGGAGAAGTGGCTCCAAAAAGAGCACACGATGGAGGAGGACATTAAGCTCCTGAGCGAGCTAAACACTGAGCTCCAGGTACGGCACATCAGCTGATCACTTTAATTGAAATAATAACTTGTTGGATTCTAACACTTTGTTTCATATTTAGTCTTTGAAAGAGAAAACACTGAATGACTTTCTACTTTTGTCTTTTCAGGAGCTCGCCGACAAAACTGACGATGAGAAGGCCAAGATGAGAAAGAACGAAAAGAGGGCAAGGAAGGAGACAGAAAAGAGGCTGAAGAAGGAGAGAAAAGAGGAGGAAAAGAGAGAGAAGAAAGAGAAAAAAGAAAATGAGAAGAAGGAAAAGGAGAGATTGAAGAGAGAAAAGAAAGAAAATCAGGAAAGGGAGAAAAAAGAAAAGAGGAGATAAAAGAGGAGGAGAAGAAAGAGAAGGAAGAAAATGAGAAAAAGGAAAAGGAGAGATTGAAGAGAGAAAAGAAAGAAAATCAGGAAAGGGAGAAGAA